TGTCCTGACAGCTAAGGCCCTGTCCTGAACCCTGCTTTCTCTGTACTTTTAGGCAGCAAATTGGTTATTTCCAAAGGTAAGGTTAGTGGCATGATGAGGCTGCTAAGCAGGAAATGTCCAGGAAAGTTTAATTGGCTCCCCACAGGTCCTGGACTCCTAATATTGCTTTTGTAATACATTGCTTTTGTAGTAGATCCAAAACATCACTTCTTAGATAACCCCAGACCTCTCTTGTAATCACACAGAATTGTATTAGAACATTAAATCGGGCATAATTGGACTGTCCCATTTAGATATAATTTTAAGGTAAAAAAACAAACACCTGAGACAATGTATTATATGTAGTGAGAAATTTATTGTGGTTCCAAAAATACCTTCACTAACAGTATACATTTTATGGGGTCATTTTTTCAGGATATAAAAAGGACTAACTAGTGTGTTTTAAGCACTCCTCTTATGACACAAAGGGTTTGCTTTTACTAGCGGTAAGTAGATCTAAAGTCACATGTAAGAAAGAGTAAGGAAAAGGCTCTGCTCTTTGTCGGTGTTATTATCAACTTTAAATTACACTTGTTCCTGAATTAGCATCAACATAACTTCATTGGCTTGGCTATTTGGACGTATATAAGCAGCCCCACAGCTGATTTTCCAAATGATGGATTCAGAATTCAACTGGAATATATTGCACTGAGATTAATAAAAGGTCTTCAGTCCCTTCTTGGAAAGCATTATTATTTATTGTCAAACACATCCACTGCCAGAGCTTTGCTGCGAAGGAGGGACTGTGAGGAAAGACTGAAATAGTAGCTATATCACCTCTTCCCAGGAAATATATGTACCTTGTGTATACTCAGAGAAGTTGTTAAAAAGAGAACATCCTAAAGTTGGGGGAAAGATTAGGTGCAAGTAGGGTGACCAGATGTCCCTATTTTATAGGGACAGTCCCAATTTTGGGGTCTTTTTTTTATATTGCAGTGTTTCTCAAACTGGGGCTGCCGCTTGTGTAGGGAAAGCCCCTGGCGGGCCGGGCCGGTTTGTTTACCTGCCCCGTCCCCAGGTCCAGCCAATCGTGGCTCCCACTGGCCACGGTTTGCCGCTTCGGGCCAATGGGGGCCGCGGGAAGTGGCACGGGCCGAGGGGCGTACTGGCCGCCGCTTCCAGCAGCTCCCACTGGCCTGGAGCAGTGAACCATGGTCAGTGGGAGCCGCGATCGGCCGGACCTGCGGACGGGGCACGTAAACAAACCAGACCGGCCCGCCAGGGGCTTTCCCTACACAAGCGGCGGCCCCAGTTTGAGAAACACTGATATATAGGCTCTTATTATCCCCCAAGCCCATCCCGATTTTTCACATTTGCTGTCTGGTCACCCTAGGTGCAAGGAAACTACCAATGGCCCTGCACGCTCCCTGCTGTCAATGCCTCTGTTACCACCCTTGCCTGAGGCATGTATGTGGGTATATACAGGACGGGGGAAAGTGCAGAAATATATACAGGATGCAGAACCATTCCACATCAGTGGTATCTCCTTGTACAGCATCCATTGTGTGCCAAACCCCTTCCTCCTCCTCTTTCATATCGCTCAGGCTGATGCAGAATCTGCCCCCCCCCAGTATGGAAAAAACCTTGCAAGACCTATGGGGGTTTTTTTTCAACAGGTTCACACTGTGCAGTAGGTCGACTCCATGCTCAGCTGCGTCCCAACAGGAGAATATGTACTGTACATATTCAAGAGTTTTCACTCTAGATGTAATAAGAAATATAAATGCAATTGGCCTATTGGTTCCCCAACAATAAATACACAGAACCGAACTGTCCCGTGGCTGCGGACAATCTTTTGCTAAGGTTAACTTAGGTAAAGATTATGTTTAACATTAAAAAAAAAATTCAGGGACTTTGGTCTTCATTTCTCATGCTAGCTCTTTTTGGTATACCTTGGGTGTACTTGAAATCACACAAAGGTTCAGAATTTACACAAAGATGTTCTTCCATCCGTATTTTATAGTCTGAGATTTCTAAATGAACACGCTTCATATTTATGGTAGAGAGAACTTTAATAACCTCGTGGTGTTCTCATTTACTTCAGCTTGACATAAATCAGAAGCCAACCGAAGGGGAGGACAGGATTTTCTATGTTTAACAAGGTTGCCTCACATTGCTACACATTTTCCATGACATCTTCTTTAAAAACTTCCCAGCAGCTTCATTAAACTGTCTTTGTAGGCAACAACCTAATATAATTTTAATTTGGACTTTCCCCCCTTCAGTCTCAGGTAATCAGGGTTCTGTCTGGAGGGATGATCTCTTTAAAAAAAAAAAGGCATGAGTAAGTGGTCAGGAGGGTTTAAAACCAGTGTTCAGGTTCATCCACTGAGAAATTAGGTAAATCAAGTTCAGGTTAAAAAGGAAAGCAAATTGCCCTTGGTTCTTCACACACTGGATCAGAAGGACTTGATATCTTTAATTGCCATGCTGGTTTTTGCCCTTCTAAAGAGAAAAGAGGCTTTTTACCACAACCACCTAGGGAGGTGACAATGAGATTATCGGGCAGGCTAGAACTGTTGCAACAGCTCCTTAAATACATTGAAACATAGGGGAAACCTGGTAATAATGATATGTACTTGTACAAACACATTAACATCCAGCTGGCCAATAACAATCAAAATTGGCCAGTTGGAAGTTTCAATCATTGGAGAAGCGGGAGGGGAGTGTGCAGAGCAGGGCACAGGCAAGAGGAAAGTGAGAAAGCTGTCTGACATGCAAAATGAGCCTTAAAAAACAGTGGTGTTTGTGTCTACTTTACTTTACTTTACTTTATTTCTCTGGTGCTAAGTTACAGCAACTGCAGGATTCCTCCCCACTTCAGTAATGTAAATCTTAGTATGACAAGCTTCAGGAAAACAGAATGTCTTTTGCATGTTACATACATCAGAGATGGGCCAAACAGATTTGACTCTGAAGTTCCCAACTGGCCTATGATCATGATCCCATAAAAGCAGACTGAGAATTTTGGCTTGCTGATGGTGAGTGGTTTTTGTTTTGCTTCTTATCAAAATGTATAACCCACAGCTTCCATTTACACGACTATCAGATATTTGTATATGTCTTCCTTGGGCCTAACAGCCTGGTCTGCTGTCCCTCTAATAGCAGTAGTAGAAGAGAGAATTTCAGATAACTATTTAATTTTCTTTCGCTCAGAATGCTCACAGCACCTCTTTCTCCTGCTCCCCCATAGTCCTACCCCTAGACAAAGAAGTGTTTGTAAACGCTTTCGGGCAGGGACTGTCTTCTTGTTCTCTTTGTACAGTGCCTAGCGCAAAGGGGGCCTGGTCCTAGGCTCTGTGATAACACAAATATTAAAGTAATCATAACTAGGCATGGCCCATTTCAGGTGGACACAGAAATCTACTTAATAACATAACGTCTCTTTAAGCAAATTAGCCTGGCCACCAGTTGGGAATATGTTTTGAGAGTGGGTTGGGTGGTTTCTGAATTCAACCATCCAGAGGGGAAATGAGAATTTAAAGACCTCTATGAGCGCACACTTCAGCAGAAACACAAAGCACCCTTTCATATCTGTGGCTAAACCCTGCTGAAATTACAGCTCAGCTGCCAATCAGCTTGGGCGGGTGGGTGTGTCTTAGTTGCTATACTTAGGATATCTAACCTCTGTGTCTCCTGGATTTCTAATGCTTCAGTTTCTTCTTACTGAGTACTTTATCAGGGTGCACACCCAGAATACCCAGGTGGTGGTGTCATATTTTCTGGGTTTTATTAACAACCTTAAAACTTTGTTTACTCTGGGCATAGTATCAATTTGTGACATCAGGAGTGAGAAATCTCTAACCCATGGTAGGGGAGTGCGAGTCTTTGTTCCCCTCTAGTGGCTAGTCTGCATAAGAGGTAATGATTCTGTTCCAGCGGCTACCCAGAGGGGTCGGGTCTTCAGCTCAAGCAGATTGGATCAAGATGGATTTGAGCACTGAAGGGCCTAGGCTCAAATCCCAGTGATAGTCCAAGTAGAACAGATTGTGTTCGGCAGCATATCGGGTATAGATCAGGGTTTAATTACAGTTTTTGAAATGGTGCTAAACGTGGCTGTTCTCGGCCACGCTTGCAGCTAAGTCAGGGTTTACTGCCCTTGTTGCTGACAGCTGCTGTTGGAAACAGATACTTCCCATAGTGGAGTCAAGGCTCATAACATGGTCTTCTAAAAGGTTAAGCAAAAATCCAGTCTACTTTCAAACCTGATGCTTGCTCCAGATGCCTATGGAAGAATACAGACTAAGTGTCCTGTTGGAGTTGATGATCACAGGACGCATGCTGCTCAAGTACTCAATGAAAGGAGCATCTGGAAGCTGTGATCCACAGGACTTCGAGATCCCAAGCCTAGCAACAGTGTCCAAGCAGAGCAGCAGTTAAAGGATTGTTTTTTTTAAACAGCTCCGGGAGAGCTGGGTAAATGTTAGAGCCCAGAGAAGTGGGAACTGAAACAGTTTCAACAGTGCTAGCAGGAACTTAGGGCAGTAGTCGACAGCTCAGGAGAACAGTGTCTCTGAAACGCTTGTGACTAATCCACTTTAATGCAGCAGTTCCAGGAGACTCAAGGGTCGACAGAATGCTAGAAAAACCAGGTTAGTCCCGGCAGGCCAGCACAAAGTGCAGCAGAAGCTGTTTCAGCATGATGTGGTCTCTGTCCCTGCTGTCTGGGTGCAATAGGATCAGGTTTCTGCTCCTAGAGAGCAGACCTCTTGCCTGCAAAAACACACACCGATAGCGCTGTTGTGCCTGCCATGGTGCTGGAGAGCTTGTGTCTTTGGAAGGGAGCAGATGCTCCCACAGATTCACATGGAAACATGTGAATCAGGGGTATTCTCGCAACCCACACAAAGTCTATTCCTATGGCAACAAAGATGGCTTCCACACTGTGCGACAGGATAATGAACAAAACAACACAGGGCCAGCCAGTAGGTGAGACCTGCAGTACCGCAGATGATAAATTGGAGAAAGAGAATATGAAGCTTGAATGGCAGATGCTGATAGCAGAATGAACAGCAGATGTTGATACTTTGTGTGCTGTTTGATATTGGGCCAAACCCTGCCTGTCTCACTCATGTGATGAGTACCGGTAGTAGAGAGACTCGTCAGAGGCTTGTGTGCTGCTTTTTTAATGGAAAGTCCACTTGGCTGAATAACACTCAACTGTCATGAAAGAATCTGGAAATTCGTGCTATAAACATGTTGCATTCTGATCACCAATGGAAACATTTGAATTCTTTTGAAATTTAGGATATTCCTTTCACAGGCTGTCTATATGTTTAAATGGTTGGGATCCTCTCTCTCTATTTAGAGAAATATTTGCATAGCATCTGTCTCTTTTTTTTTTCTTTAGTGAAATAGCCTCATTGTTACCTCTTAGGACTAAATCAGACTTGTGCTACTCGTGTGAGTTACTCCCACTGACTTCAGAGTGAGTAAGGAGAGCAGAATTTGGCTCCTACTGTATTTTTTATATTACTGCTTGAAAAATTGTTCCTGTCTTCTCTTTGTGAGGTGAGTTATCCATTCATATCGGATGTGAAAGTGACAGGGTGTCTTCCTTTTCAACTATTTACCTGACACTTTCTCTTTCAATTTCTTTATTCACATTTTCACTAAACACTGAATTTGTGATTGCCACTCCGCCATTGGCATCAGAAAGAATGTTATAATTGTGCAACAAAATTCAGATGAAAAGAAATACTTCACAACAGTATGAATTAAACATTTAATTACAAGTGTTGAGTCTAATTTGAATTTTGTTTAAAACTCCTATGACTGAAGACCTGCAGTCTGCATGAAGAATGTGATAAGATTAGGCCCCAATTTGGGTAGCAGCATAGAACTGATATGAAGAGTTCAAGAAAACGTATTTATTTAAAAATTGGGGGGTGTTAAAATTCTGGGGAATGTAACTTATTGGCTCTGCAGATGCTCGTAGTTTCTGCTACAAAATTTGGAAATGTGAATCTCACAAGGGCTGCTTTTTTGTGGATGGGTGGTTGTGTGTGTTTGGGCTTGGGGTTTTCTGTTTTTGTGGGGGGGGGTTGTTTGTTTGTTTTGTGAAAGGCAACTACAGGAACTTCTCACTTAAAGTCGTCCTGGTTAATGCTGTTTCGATGTTAAGTTGCTGATCAATTAGGGAACATGCTCGTTTAAAGTTGTGAAATGCTCCCTTCTAACGTTGTTTGGCAGCTGACCGTTTTGTCCACTGCTTGCAGGAAAAGCAGCCCGTTGGAGCTAGCTGGTGGGTGGTTGGAACCAGGGTGTACCAGCAGCCCCCCTATCAGATTCCCCTATCAGCTCCCCATTCCCTTAAGTTTCCTGTGCAGCAGCTGTCTCTCCCCCCACTGCCATGTGCTGCTCCTACCCTCTGCCTTGGAGCTGCTCCCAGAGACTCCTGCTTGCTGTACGGGGGGAGGGGGGAAAAGGGGGCTAATGTCAGGGTGTCTCCCCCTCCCCTTTGCTCCTGCACCCTGCTTAACCCATCTTCTACAGAGCAGGGGGGACACACCACAGTGCTGGCTCAGGTCTCAGCAAGCTGATTTAATTAACAAGGCAGTGTACTTAAACTTGGGGTCAGCTACTTAAAGGGGAAATGCCCATTTTTTTCTCTCACTCACAGGGTGTGTCTCTCTGTCTGCCCTCCCTCCTCTCCTGCTGCCTTGTAGACTGTTGTGAGAGTTAACCCTTGAGGGCTCAGTCAATTGCTAGTTCAATTAGCAGTAAGGCATTCCCTGGGAAATATCCCACCCTCTGACTCCTTCACCTCAACGAAGCTTCACAATCATTATCACTGTGTACCAGTATTAAATTGTTTGTTTAAAACTTATACTATATATAATATATATATATATATAAAATTGTCTTTTGTCTGGTGAAAAAAATTTCCCTGGAACCTAACCCCCTCATTTACATTAATTCTTATGGGGAAATTGGATTCGCTTAACATCGTTTTGCTTAAAGTCGCATTTTTCAGGAACATAACTACAACGTTAAGTGAGAAGTTCCTGTACATTTGAATTAGCTTTATTTCTACTACTCAGCAGATCTCACCCCAGATGACACCTCTGGTTTTTCACATGTAGGTTCATAAATGATTGTCATAAGGCCTGACTTAATTAAGTAGATGTTCTTAAGTGCATGGGTTCAAAATATGCACTTGCTGCATCTCTTGGATTGTATGGGTACCTAGCATACGGCAATACAAATACTCTTTGGCTCCATCAACAGATGGGATTATAAAATGAAGTCAGTTTGTCATTTTAATTATAATTTTAATAGGATATTATTTTTTCTCTTGTTGCATTTTTGCTTAGATAACATAATTCTGGGTCATGCAGTATATACTAACTGTTAGCCAATTATGTAACTGGGCAGTCTAATATTTCCTTTGTGGATATAAAACAAATTGGAGCAGCTCCTTTAAATTGCTTGGGCCATTTTATGTAATTATGGAGAAAAAACTTCTCACCTAATTCCAATTGTAATTCAAAATGCATTTAAAAATCTTAATTCTCTGCAAAGCTCAGTCTACACTGACAGAAATACTTTCCTTACCTCTCTCACCTTGGGCCATATTCTGTCAGATGCTGTGAAGAGACATCTTGTCCAAAGATGGGAGATCAACAATGGAAGTGTGAAGAGTATTTAGTTGTTCCTGTTCTGGTTGCCCCTGTACCCGATGGAGCACTTGCTTTGCAGAGACATTCAGAGGTAAAAAATTCCAAGTCTGATTTGCTCTCAGTACACTGGTTTTACACAGCTGTCACTGCAGCAATGCAGCTAGTCCTGATTGACACCAGTATTCGTGAATTCAGTATACGTGCCAGGAATCAGAGGCACTGACATTATATTTTTACGTGTATGCTCCTTACTTTGAAATGGCCCCTATGAACAGCCTACTGCAGAAATAATTGATGTTTTTTAGCAGGAGCAGTTTCCATGAAAGTTTGTGCCTGACTGTATTGATAACCAGAGCACATGTATATCTAACAGTGATCTTGCAAAGTTTATGTGCAACCCAATTATGTGCTAGGGAAGTTTCATCCCATGATTTTAAATTGCATTTATCTTTTTTTATTTTTATTTTTTTTAAGACTTTTGAAGGATTAAATAAGTTTATCACTGAACTGCTCGGTAATTTGCTATGTGCTTCTGAGGGCAGAAATGAAAGCAATTTAAGGTCAGCTTGGTAATGTAAGCGTGGCACATTTTGCATCTGTTTGATTGACATTGCAAGTCAAAGCACTCTGATTTTTTTTTAAAGAAAGCATTGAGGCCCAAATGAACACCTACTCTGTGGCTTCAGGCACTTAAAACCCAATGGCGTTTTGGTTTAGGCTGTGCATGTCTGTGAAGGGCCATGACTGGGAGTGAAACTTCATAGTAGAACAGTTGCGCCCCGGTTCTTTCTTCTCTGAGATGGCATTGCACCTGCCTGCAGATGAGTGTTGCAATGTATGGCCAGGGGAATCAAGGAGAGCAATACATGCATCTAAACAGGTATTCCCCTCTTTCCATCCAGAATCCCACATGCCTTCCTCAATTCTGTTCCTGGATGGTGTGAACTCCTGGGAAACTGGAATATGAATGCAATTTGAAATGGCAAAACAGAATTCATATGCAGCCATTTTGGGACAAAAGGAAGCAAACAATGTGGTGCTTTATTTATAAAGTTCCTATACATTTTGTCTCATCTGTATTACTTGCATAGAGCATATAAAATATAGTTTACTACAGTAGGTAATGCAGGTGAAACACAAATTGATCAGATTTGGTGTTACAAAGAATGCACCATATTTGTAACTGGAAACAAACATCCATCCTTTGGATTTCAAGAGAATGGGATTGTATTCTAAGAAAAATCAATGAAATATTCGAGCAGAAAATCATAATTGTGCTTCTCTTTGATTTTGAGTCTGATAGTGATTGAAAATACATTTCAGAAGTTCTTAAAGTACATATAATTTTTGATTCACTGCCAAAAAGAAGAAACTTGTCACATTATTGCTAAGTACAAAGAACAGAAGAAAGTAGATACTAATTTATTCAATATGTTATTGTACAACAATGTTGTAAAATAAGAAGTTTGGGGAAGAAGAGGGAGCTGCAAATATGAAGCGTGGAAGCATACCCAGGGCAATTCTAGTTTGCAGGCCAGAGGGATGATGAACTGAACAGAAAGAGGAATGGGGAGTTGGATATTGGGGAACAGGAGCTCACAAACCAGAAGGAAAAAAAATCAAAAGTTGATTACATTAATCATTAAGTGACACCACAAAGACAGTGGGGGAAAGTCTTGGTAAAAAAGGTTGGGGCAGGGAAAGAGGGAAATGAGGATTGGAAAAAACAACAGATTCTAGCACGTTGCATATACACAAAAAGAAGATTTGCGGGGGGGGGGGGGAAGAAGGGGTCTATAAAAGAGTCACAAACCCTGAAAGAATCAAAAAGGAACACAATGAAAAATTCATCTCTATTAAAAATTCAGAGAGAGATCTTCGTATTTTAAATTCTCTCTGCCTGCATAAAATAGACAGAGGGCCTGTTTTCCATGGCTGTTCTCGAGACAGAAGCTTCCCAGGAGTGGGGGAACAGGGCAAGCTGGTGCAGTCCAGGAGTGGTGGGGCCAACTGGTTAATCAGCACATTCTGCCCATGCAGTATCCTCCAATCCTGCTCGTGTGGAGTCCTTAATCTGAATTTAAAACTGCAGGTGAGGTAAAATCCTCAGATAAGGTCATCCTGGTAGAACATTATCCCCTGCCCCACTGCCCTCCCCCAGAGGCAAATCTCCCCTGAAGTTCAGCAGCTCCATAGGCACAAAACGTGTGTGTGTGCACATGCAGTTTTCACCTTCTATGCTTGTGGCAGAGAACTCATGGGTGCCCATGCATGTACGTACATATAGATCATTGTTAGTAGTGCCCTGCGGTAAAAGTTTAGGGTAGAGACCCTTGCTGAGCTGTATGGCTGATCAAATTGCTTTGCGTTTCTGTACAGCAACCAGCTATATCTTAGATAATGCTAATGCCACTTTTTGCAGAATAATTATGATGTTTCCCTACTTTTCTCCCCGTACGCACTGCACAACACAGAGGACTAAACAAGACAGGACTTCTGCAATGGTTTTGAAAAACAAGATTGATTATGCTGAAGTCAATGGTGGATTGTCATGAGTTGATTAAACTAAATAAATTGATTTTTTTTAATCTGCTTCTGCACCAGCCTCCCCCCAAAACCTCCTTTACATTTTAATATGTCAAGTATTTGAAAGAACAGTAAGTGCCCACATGTGCAAAACTGAACAGTGGGTTGACACCAGGCATGAATGTGGGCCAACATGATTTAATTTAGAGCAAAGAGAAAAGGCAGTAATACAGTTGAGCTACATGGAGAATGGCATTGATTAAAAAAGGGAAGAAGTGTTTTTGTGGGCGGGGCACTGGGTTGCTAGGAGCTACATACTACCTTAGACCTTAAATTTGACCTATTTTTGGTCTTATTTGTAACTGACAAAAGCATGAGTGAAATTTATCTTGTAACTCCCTAAAGGGCAGGAGAGGAATTAGAAATACTAAATGTTGGTACATAGGCTGTTGGAGATGCACTGACCAAATCATTATCATTTTTGAATTACTTTGGATTCCCCATCAAGTTGCAATTGACATGTGTGGCCGGGTGACGACTCACCAGCGCGGCGCCTCCTGCTGGTCATCCAGGGAATTAGCTGTTTCCAGCCCAGAGCGCCCTCTGCGGGAGAGTGTCTCGCCTGCCGCTGCCCCTGTGTCCCTCCCAGACCCTGGTGCCCTTTGCCCAGGGGTTCTGCCCACCGCGGTACCCCCTCACTCTGGGTCTCCCCTCCCAGGGGAACCCCCAACCCCCTATCCCCACCTTGCCTCAGTGGCTACTGCCAGTCTCCACTTAGCCCCTGCTCCCTGGGGCAGACGGCAGCCTGTTAACCACTCATCATCGGCAAGGGGGATTGGACCAGCTGCCTCTGCTTATCTCTGGGCGGCCCCTCTGCACCCCCAGTACCTTTGTGGGCCCTTAACTCGGCCTCCAGCCTGGGGCTTTGCTAGCCTGGAGCTCCCCAGCTCCCTCTGGCCTTCCCCAGCACTGCTCCACCCTAGGTACCCTCCTCAGCTTCCCAGGCAGCCAGGTCCTTCTCTCTCAAGAGGCTAGAGAGAGAGTGTGTCCTTCTGGCCCACCGCCCTCTTATAAGGGCCAGCTGGGCCCTTGATTGCACTGGAGACAGCTGTGGCTGCTTTCCCAATCAGCCCAGCTTTTCCCCTGCCACAGCCCTCTCCCAGGGCTGTTTTAAGCCCTTCAGGGCAGGAGGGGGGTAACCACACCGCTATAACATGCCTGAAGAAAAGGCTAGCGACACTTCAGATGCAATTGAGAACGGTTGAGGATACCGGGTTATTAACATGTTTTGAATTGAGAATCCATTGACTAGGCAAAAGAGAGAGAGAGAGATGTGTTTATTCTGTACAGTCACTTCTCCACAGAGCGTCAGCCCAGAAAAAATGATGGGACATAAAAGCTTCATAATTTAAAAATAAATTTGGAAATAGACCATAAAATTCAGAACAGGATCATAAAAGCAACAGATTCTAGCTCATTGCATTGCTCAGAGTGTCCGAGAAAGAATGGTATGGCCACTAGGTGCAGACTTGAAAATATAATCTACCAGTAAAATTAACAAGTGTTATGGTTCTTTTACTTTAGCCTTTTCCCCTAGCAAAGTCCCGTTGGCCTCAGTTCAGCAGTGTACTCATGCATTTGTCTAAATTTAAAATTAAGAATGTGCTGACATATATTACTGAATCTATACCCTGGAGAACAACAATAGCTAATCTGAGCCCTGGTCTAAGCCCATTAAAGTCAATGGGAGGCTGGTGTGATTGGGCAAAAGTCTACTCTGTTATACCGGTATAAATGCAGAGTAATTAAAATGGATTTACACCACTGTAACTGAGATGAGATTTTTTTCCTAATCATTCTGTCACTTCAACCGGCTTATATAGAAATAGGTATCTGATAGATGGTTTGTTTTATTTTAAACTGAGTATAGTAGATGTTGACACCACTAGAATTATGTTACTAAACCTTGATGACCCTGCATTATTTACATGTCTCAGAGTCTTACCCAACTGACTTATACTTGTAAAGATAACTTCCACAAAATAACATTTTAACTTTGTCTTGTAAATAAAATCTATTTAACACATATTGGGTACTTGGTTGGCAATTTTAACCACGGGAGTTCATCTGTTTATATTTTCCAGTCTGGGGTAAGAAGAAAGTTTGTTACTTATGGCATAAAAATAAATTACACATGGGGGCACAGATTAAATTGGTAGGGAATAGTAAAATTCACGATTGTGAACGCAGACTGAGAAAAGAGAGGTGTTGATTGGATGTTAAGAAGATTGTTGGGATAGGGAATAGATGGTTGATGTTGATGCTACGAGCCTCAAGGAACATAAGTGCAAGTTCTCTGCTACAGAACTTACTGGGAATTCTTCAGGCTGAGCATTTTCAGGATCAGTCTCCGAGTCTGGTATAGAAGAGTGTCTGACAGTTCATGGCAGATACACAGACATGCAAATACCATCGTGGTGACTGCGTTTCAGGAATAGCGGGGGAAAGAAGGCAGGAAATGGATTAGTGGTTCTTTCCATCCAAATTTCATACATTCCTGTGGTCTTCCAAAATACTGTGCACTCTTCTGGGGGCCATTACGCGCACTTACTTCCCCAAATAGACAGACATATGTGTCCAATAAATATAGTATGTTAATACATTCATTCCAGATTAGAAGCTTGGGGGTCCAATCCTGCAGTTCTTCAAAGTGTTAGCCAACACACACAAACGTGTGCGTGCACAAACACACACACATAAACACACACTAAAATAGGTATTATGTATACTGTACTAATAGTGTGTATATTGTAACAAATATGAATGTCGTGTAGCTAGGCTAACTTGACTTGTATCATATTCTTCCCATAATTCTGTTCATCATGCCAACACTTTGCAAAGCTGGAGTCAGCTTTGTTCCCGGAAAATATCAAACCTGTTAAAGGCCACATCTGTTTTTTCTGTGTCCTGCTACAGGTAGGGAGTGCCTTCACAGCCCTTCGCACTTGGAATTTAGTGTCCAAAACGAGAGACAAGAAAGATAAACTGTGATACAAGAAAAACAAGGTAAAAAACTGACTGGTGAATTTTAGTCTTGGGTGACCTATCGAGTGCTTTTAGCTTGTAAGCGGCCATACTATCAATATGGCTGGTTTTGAATGCATACTTTGGAGTACACCCATGTAAGGTGAACTAAATGCTGAGAGAACCACTTTCTGGTCGGAGTGGTGTGCATACCTCCTTTTCATATTGTACTACTTTGTCTTTTGACAATGAATATTTGGACTCTTGAACGTTTTTAATATCGAACCGCAAGTGTAGTCAAGCAATTGGCTATACTTGAGACAACAGAAGGCAAAATTGCCTTGTCTCACTGTGACTGAGACCCTTAACTATGTCACGACTGGAGGAATGTCTAGGTTTCTTCTTCTCAAGGCTATGCTTAGTGGAGCATAAGAGGTCATTTGCTCCAGCCAGCCAGCACTGTTACTTTTAAAGTTCCCCTAAAATCCATTACTTACAGTGGTGAGCCCATTTAACTCTAGGGACTCCATAAGCATTCAGAAACAACTACGGGCTGTTCCATATGCTAACTTCCATTGCAGGGCTCCCTGTCCCTGGGAGATAGTGAGCACCTTCTGAGAGAGACTGAATGGGGTAAGAGGGTGTTCAGCACGCCACAGGAGTTGCTCAGCACTGCAAATCAGTTTCAGAACTGAAAACGAATGCTTTACTGTGAATCACATGGGCCCAAATCAGTATGGCATGAAATAGTGGCACTTAAGGGATACTTAAATGGAACTTGAAGGGGGAATAGATAATGCCAGTAACAGGGGAGAAAATCTAATCAAGTACAGGAGTTTTGCATTTATGTAACAAGATAATATCGAAAACCGTCACAATATTTGGTTAAAGCAAGAACCATGGTCCAATAGCAGCAGGAAAAAGCTTAATTTGGTTATTAAACCCCAAATTGTGTGTTTGGGGAAAAAAATAAAAATAAACCCTGATTCGTTTCTTTCTTTCTTTCTTTCTTTCTTTCTTTCTTTGTTGTCTTGTTAACCCTGAAATATCTGCCTCAGCAAAAACTGAACTGTTTTGCTTTTTGGGAGGTTATTTTGCTCCTCATGTCACTTGCTGTCTGGATGGTGTGGACATGCGGTACGTTCCCATAAGCATTCCCTGGGCACGATATAAAGTGCCAGCATTATAATTAACACCGACAAGATTGTATAAAATCTGAGAACATGGGAAAGAGCTGCTAAAGCTGAATGGCCAGTGTTGAAGAAGAAGAAAAGAAAAAATAAACTAGACATGCCTTCACTTATTGCTTAATGCCAGACAAATATTAAAGCAGCAGGGGCCAAGGAAATCCACTATTGAATATAGATAGTAGACGCGTTATAAACGATTTATTGGTGTCACAATTTGGGGTGCAATCCATAGCAGTGAGGGGTTGTGTGATCACTTGTCCCGTAACTCTGAGCGCCTTAAAACTCTCTACTGCTGCAATGGATGCACCCAGCCAGCATACAAGTATACACTGAGTGTCTGTGTGTTGAACAGCCTTGGTTCAGCCTCTCTGACTCCAGCAGCCTGCTTCTTACTCCACAGTCACACTCTGGTCTCCACCAGCCTGGGTTACAACTAGCCAAGTGACCCCAACACACTCCCACGCCACACTCCCCAAAACTGTCTGCCCTGAAGAGTCCAGGCCTCTCCTGGAACACTCAGGCCAGGTCTACGCTACAAACCTATCTCAGTATAACTGTGTCATTCAGAGGTGTGAAAAATCCAACCTGTGCCAACCTAAACCTCCTGTGTAAATAGCGCTGTCGATGGGAGAGCTTCTCCCCTTAAAGTAGCTACCATCTCTTGTGGCAGGGGATTAACTATGCCAATGGGAGAAGCTCTCTTGTCAGCCTAGTAGCATCTTCACTGAATTGCTGCAATGGCACCGCTGCAGCACTGTAAGTGTAGACCAGCCCTCAGAGAAGTAATAATGTGTGTTGCTCCTTTAAAGCACAGCAGCATGTTGCTTTAACTGGAGTTAATCATCACTTCAGGTCAAAGGCAGCACTGGATTGATTTAGAATAAAAGGAAAAGTAGTTTTATTTAATCAAAAAGAGAGAGGTTTGAAGTGAGTTCAAGTATAAGGAATAAAGCCAGAAATGGTTACAAATAAATAAAAGTAAAGTACGCTTTTTAGTAGCGAAGACTTAATTTAGCAAGCTACAGCCTTGGTTCAAGAGAGATTTCTTACCAGTCTTTCTTCTTCCCAGCCACGGGTGACTTTCTCTCAGTCAGGACCTTCCATGGAAGTACAAGGTGCTGGTTTCCCTTGTCTTTGTAGATGGAAGATCTTTTGCGTAAGCAGATTTTTTCGCATATATTCAGCTCCCAGAGACTTTGATCTCTTTGGTGAAGGACCCATCTTTTTCAGGCTCTTTGTGTCTGTCCAGTGATGGATTACAAGATGGCTGTTGCTTCTTGCCTTATATCTTCTTAAACTCACTGTTTTTGTCCCCATACCCAGAATTACCTCATGCTGTTCTTCTCTTCCTCTAGTCTTCCCAGTCCCCTGCTGATCCACCTGGAAATGGGGCTTGCATTTTTGATTCCACAATGCTACCTTTCCCGTTTCTGGGAGAAAACCTGTTTCTCGCTTGGTTTGGTCACAGACTTTAAAGCATATTATCATTGTGTCCATAATTCTTCATGTAGTGTTAATACAGACATTGCATAGTGGTATTAATCACCAGTGTGTCACAGACTTTCATAAAAGTGCATTGAGTATTGTCCTTTATAATATAGTAATATTGCATGTAATCAGTTGATTCAATTGCTTATCATTTGAGGTTCAGACCCCCACAAGACGCTATCTCCCCCAGTCGTTATGCTTCATTTATCTTTTGTGTAAATGTCCCTTCATTGTCTCTGCCTGATGACCAGCTGGTCAGACAAATACACACTCCTTTGTATAGGACAGACTGGACTTAGGCACTGCCTGCCAAACACATTTTAAGAAAATAATTTTAGCACATATCCATAACTCTTTGAAGACCCCCAGTACATACATTGCTCAAGAATATTAATGATCAGTGAGTTTTTAGTTTTCCACTGATCTGACACGGCATCTTTTGGGTACATATGATGACAACAGTGTGTTAGGTGTAATGAGTATGTCAGACCTGAGAAGAGTTGCCAACACAGAGTAGTGAACCACAAATGGATCTCTGTGTCACAATTTGGCATGAGTCACAGAGAGCAAATGGCCCGTTTTGTTGGCCCACTGTTGAGATGAGGTGGATAACAATTGTTATTTACTATTGTAAATTGATCTACTACCTGAAATAATGTTGTTGTAATATTGTGCTGTCTGGCTCTCCTTCAAGTTGTTCTTCAAGAACTGCTCCACTAGAAGCCTCTTGCAATGGGAAGACTTGAGCTCCTGCACGGAATGATGATGTCTTGTGGAGAATCAGTTTTGTTCCTTCCGTGGCTTTTTTAAAAAATTTTCTCTTAAACAATTTTTGTAAAAAATACTAACATCCTGCAACAGTTCTTCTAAAAAAGATAGCATGACACATCCATGGTAGTCCCATGTGCAACTGAAGCATTGTCTAATGCTTGGCAGAATTTGATTTTTTTTTTAATATAATTTTGATGGTGACACTTTCTCAGGGTGCCCAGGACTGTGAATCACCATTTTAGCCCCCTGCCTCCAGCGAGAGGGAGTCAGGCCTGTGGCAGCTGGAATGTCCTAATGCTGCCAGTTTCTCAGTCCCTCAAGCAATCTGCTCAGGGCTCTGCCAGTCTCTACTTTGCCAGGCACCCCAGGCCCGGCGCACCTCAGAAGCTCCTCTTGTAGTATCCAGCCCCTGTCACTGGACTCTCTCAGTAATTACCAGGTTCTCTATTTCCAAGGACAGCTTGCTTAATTCAGCTGAAGAGTCACACTTTACTTAATACCTCAGTATTGAGATGAGTTTATTATAAAAACAAGAATACGTTTATTCGGAACAAAGACTCAAAGATTCAAATGAGTAGTGAGTAAGAATATTGGAAACAGAACTGGCTAGAGATATAAAATTCAATTCCAGGTCTAAACTTAATGGTTACCTTTTCTATCGAATAGAGTAGATTCTTTCCCAATGATTCAGTCATTAACGGAGCCACTGGTTTTCAGTCATAACCAGGATCCAGGTTTTCATGAATATCCCCATGCCCTCAAGGGGTTTCCTCAGTAAATGGATAATACAGGGGTTCTCTTTCCTTCCTCTCATATCCCAAATTTCATTCTCTTTGCACTCCAGCACCAAGGCTACCCACTGTGATTTAGTCTTCAGTGTCTTTCCATGTTGACTTCGCATTCTTGTGTTTATTTGGAATGGAAATGTAGCTCCCATTGTTTTTGACTTACAATGCTTAATTTACACATGAACGAGAAAGGTGACTAAACATCCTATGTCTCACAAAAAACTTATTTGTCCACTCTTCCTCTAACACATATTGTAGGAACATATCTTCAGCACACATACATAACTCCTTACATATCACCCATACATACATCACACAATGATTATGAGGATCAGTCCACTATAAACTTCCATTAAACACGTCACATCGCCCTAGGAAACCTGTGTGTTGAGTCTAGTGAGTTTGTCAGGCCTGATAGGAATTACTGTTACAGAACATTGAACCTTTTGCCAATTGGCACTGAGAAGTTCTTAAGGTCACAGATGGCTAATGCCAATGTTTGTTTTTAAGCTTTTTTTATTTTATTTTTTTTTATTTTCACAGTTGTGAGAAATTATGGGAGGAACAATAGGGAGGTCAGATAATAGGTATTTAATGACCAATGTTGCGATTCAAAAAGGTAAAGCTTCATAATCATTAAAACACAAATTGTCAATGTCATATGTCAAAATCTACAACGTCTCCTTAACTCAAACTATGGTAAGTTCTCAAGCAGCGTTTTTTACTTTGTCTATCTGTAAATTTCCATCATCATTAACCAACTAACATCTATCAACATTTACCAATTAAAAAACTAAT